TTTTTGTTTATATTAGTATTATTATTATTATTATTATTTATACAATATTTGACATGATTGATGTGAACAGTATTTATAGTGACAGGCCAAGTGGCCAAGTGGTATTATTTTAATCAATAGAAGAAGGCAGAAAAGAAAAAGAAGAATAACAACGAGAAATACTACTGCGTTTGTTATAAGCTAAATGTGGGATATTTGCTTCCAATTTTTTCAATTCATTATCATAGAAATAAAGGACTTGGTGTGGGGTTTTTTTGGCTTTTGAGGAGCTTCAAAACCCAGCTAGAGAAGGAAATTCGAGATTCTTATGTATTGAGAATTTACGGTAACAGAGAGGGAAAAAGTTGACCTTTTGTGGGTTTTTTTCTATTTTATTTTCATTTCGGGATGAACACATTTATGATGTAGTGAAATGTATATTCATGGAAAATGGGAGAAATAAAGATGGAGAAAACTAAGATGAAATCATGAAATACGAACTTGGTGAAGAATACGTTTTCCGGTGGAAATGGGGCCGTTTTCCGGCGAAAATTGACTCCGAGCAAATTACGGAGCCCTCCTTCTAGCGCCAAACTGTTGATATCGAAAATCGGACGATCAACGGTTAAATAATAATTGATTTTTTTGTAGGAAAAATAAAGAACAAGTGCAATAAGAATGGATGTATATTTTTTTTATTTTGGAGAGAAAACTCCTTTTTTGCTTAGGGGAGATGGAAAAAAATGAAGAGAGGCCCCCCTCTTCTCTCTCTTATCACATATATATACATGAATTAAAAAAGGTGAAAATAATACATTATCATCTAATGCAAAGTGACAACTGGGGGGCCCACTTATGTCTTTTGACGGCTTCGATCGGCAGCTTCTAGCTAATCAGTCTCGAAAACTTGTTTGTGTATTTATGTATTTTCGGCTCCTTGGTTATCGGGCCGCTCTTTATTATATTACTTACCGTTTATTTAATTGGAGCCAAATTAGGTATCAACAAGTACAAATGACAAATTATAGTATCAATTTCACTTGAACGACACTCATATTGCATGTATTAGTTAGAATAAAACAAAAGAGGTAGTTTAATTTTTTAGATCACTAAATGAAAGAAAATAAAATTAAAACTAAAACGAGTGCCAAATCAATTCAAACTTCATCCTTCCTTTTCAATTATTCATCTCCACTCAGCTAAAACGATCGAGCAATCTTGACCTCGAGTTACAAATACACTAGATTGTGCATGATACCTTCATTCCTACTTTTAGGAATATAAATAAACTTCTAACTTGTCTTCCTCTAGTTCAAATATCCAAGTCGATAACTGAAAACAAAACAAAAGCCACTCACCTAAACAAGCAATTCATATGCATACTAGCATATGAATCTTTCTACAAGGGAATACACACTTATTAAATCTTTCTCTTAGGACGAGCAGTTTTGTAGCCACACTTGCTTGGTTTTCCCCAAGGCGTAAGTGAGACTCGTCCATGACTACAACTACTCTTACTCCTTCTTTCACCACCACCATGGGGATGATCAACTGGGTTCATAGCCACACCTCTCACAACCGGCCTTCTTCCCAACCATCGGCTTTTCCCAGCCTTTCTTAGCTTCTTTGTTCCGGGTTAGATACCATTCCAATAGTCGCTCGACATCTCGTGTCTTTTAGTTTCTTCACCCCAGATGGCAGCTTTATCTCACAGTACCTAAAAATGATCTCAAGGTATAAAAAAAAAAAAAATAAAAAAAAAAATAAACAAGCAGTAAAAATCAATTGTGGGAGAAAAAAATATTAAAATAAATTAAGATGATCGGAATTTGTGATGAATTTACTTCGGAGCTCTAATGCTTTCATGCTTGGCTGATATTTTAATGTATTATAACACAACACAAGAAACATTTGACTCTGAAACTACCCCACCTACTGATCTTTGTAAATTGAGTAACTGGTCTGAATTTTTTGCACGTGATAATCTATGTGCATTAAATCTGAAACTTACTTCATTTAACCAAAGATGCTCAAATGATAGAGCTGCATCCGCTCACTGAAAAATAAGTTAATGCATTACTAGCCCACTCAATAAATAATTGTTTTAAGGAAAAATCTCAAGCGCATCATAATGCACAACTTTTAGTAGTAGTATTTTTATTATAATATTTTATTATTATTTCCTTCTTTCTAGTTGGTAGGAGAATATTTATTTATTTGGTATTTACTTGTTTAGCAAGATAGAGATTTAAACTTGAACTCTATATATTGTGTCCTTCTCCCTTCAAGCCGATTGGCTATGAATAAACTTATCGTATTTTAAGATTTTATAACTTATTCCCCTTTCGTTTATCGTTGCGCTACATCAAAAACTTTAAACAAACAATTGTACCAATCTAAAAAAAGTGCACCCGATCCCTATCTTGATAAACATGTATATATAGAGTTCAAGTCTAAATCTCTATCTTGCTAAACAAGTAAATACCAAATAAATAAATATTCTCTTACCAACTAGAAAGAAGGAAATAATAATAAAATATTATAATAAAAATACTACTACTAATAATGATAATAATAACAGTAATAATAATCATAATTATTATTCTGCACCATTCTCCCCCGATTGAGCAGGATTCGCCCTCGAATCCGACCCATTCCCGTTGGAGACGTCCCCATGACAAGAATAGCACGACGTTTCCCCCGATCGAATATGAAAGACAAAGGTTGCCCAACAATCCCGATGGGAAACATAAGCTTGACCAAGTGTTGTACTGCTACAAAGGTACATATACACGCCTTCCTACGCATAACCCACACAGCAAA